AAAACACTGATATTCAATATTCAATTACTCTGCACAATGGTGTATTGAATAATCACATCTGGTCCCACAGCTGGAGTGGTGAAAGTATGTATCAGATATGTCAGAACAGTATATTTGACAGCGGCAGATATGTAATACAATACAGACTAATTGACTGTCCTTCTGATAACTTGATATTGATATGTCAGCGGCACAATACAATATGGGTTTCATTACTTTTAGGCTTTTAGATTGTTACATAATTATTATTATTAGTCCATTATTAGTTGTTATTATTATTAGTTGTAAATACGTATTTTGGTAAGAAGGATTTTGTCAGTAAAGTAACACAATTCACGTTGGTTTTAGTTACGCCCACAATTCACGTTACGTTAGGTTATTATGTCATTATTTTATTTATCAGCTGATATCTTGGTAAGGAGGTTTCTGAAAGTACAATTTTTTTTCTCAGGCCGCTAGGCACGAGCCCGAGATTGTTTTTCATATTACTTTCAGTAGTACTTTTAGGCAATTACAAAAATATTTCCATTTTTATCTGTTAAAAATGGTTTATTTAGTGTAATGTAATTTGGACACCTATAATAAACGAGTATTTGAATTGATATTCTATATCAAAAATGTCCAATATTGTATATCCCAGACTACGTTGTCTGTATTTTTGGGGGAGAAAACACCAGCTTACATGGACAATTTTTTTTACCAAACTTCCTAAAGAATATAAACATGAAATCCAGGCAGAATGTCTTTAAAATAGTCTTGCCAAATTCCTAATTTGCCAATATATTATCAGTTAACATTTTTTATTTGATTCTTGGTCAGTTGTTCACCAATTTAATATGTTTTAAATTATCTTTCATATGCAAATTTAATCAGTTTTTTTATGTTATCTTTTAGAAAGTTATTTATTCAAAAAACTTCTTGAACTCTTTTTCAAGCTTGAATTTGCTGTTATTGTTTTATGACTGCTTATTACTTTCAAACGTTCATATGAATTAATTAGAATTACTCAATTATTTATAAAACAAATATTGACATTTAAATCTAAATAGGTTTCACAGAAAACAATTTTGTTATGTTTCCAAATGAATTATAATCAAAAGTTTTGATACAGGACCTGAAAAATGTGTATGTGAGGGCAAATGTTGTGTCAACATTTTACAATTATTTTTTAACCTAGCACTTTTTTAACACTTTTGTAAGAATACTGTTCAATGTATTGTCAAAGTATACAAGGAAAGTTTTGATTGGAAAATCCTTAAAACTATTTTATTTTACTAAAAATATTGAAGTGCAACAAACTATTAATTTCAATGTATCCCAAATTTCTGTACGTATCTTCCTAGATATAATTTTTGTGGTCTTAAACATTTTATTCATGAGCCATCCATACTATTTTACAATTCAACTTTTTCTTGAGCCACCCACTTATTACAAAATGTACTTGGAAAGCATCATGACTCAAATGTATTTACTTTTAGAGCTCGTAAACAGACAAGAGGGCACAAAACAAGACTGACTGTCAAAATGCAATAAAGAGCAAATGTTGCAAATAAACGTGATGAAGTGAATAAACAAGATGGGATTGGGGGAAAGAGAATAAGGGGAATAAGACTTGTGAGAATGATGGGAGAAGATATGATGCAAACTGCAATATTACTTTACGAGTTGTGTTTTCATGACTATATATACTTTCACAGGTATGACTCAATTTCCCAAAATGAACACTTAACTTTAATGGGTGTAATATATTTTGAGTTGGTTAACGTTATGTTGATATATTCTCAGTGAATTATGGTTAGAATAAAATCTATGGCCTTGAGTGATTGTATAAAAATGCTCCATCCTCTTGTCAGATTTATTACTGTAATTTATTTTATTGCCAGCCATAATAAAGTAATCAGGTAGACTATTACTCTGTTAGTGGTAGGCTACTTTTGAAACCAGCTAAATTTAACTATGTTTTTATAGTTAAAGTTATGCTCTGCAAAATCAGCTGATTTTAGTTCAATTTACTTCTTGTCACACTGTTGCCAATTGGTAAAAGCATATATTAAAGGAGTAGACACCTTTAATCTATGGTAAAAGAGACACTGAAGAAAGAGATGTGCCATTTTCTGTGTTGTCATACATAAAAATTGCCAATCAAAAATCTCTTTATTTATGTATCTGGTTTTCTAATGCTTAGCATTTTCTGTATAAAATATTGAAATAACTTACTCTGGGTAGCCAAGTAAATGGTTTCATTATTTGCTTGTACGTAAAGGTTGATTTTTGATCCAGAGCATGGGTCAATTATACTGGACCTATCAATTAATTATGTTAACTAACAAAAGGATCACGCTAGATATTATCCAGACAAAGATGTAGAAAAATATAAATTAAAGAAGAAGGAATATTAATCAAGCAAGTAATACAAAAATAAGTTTCATTCTCTAGTCAACACTGATTCAATAGTATCGTAACCAAATTACAGTTACGTATTTCAATATCTTTGTTTACCAAAGCTTTTCCATAAAAAAACTGTTGGATCTATGGAGCTGAAAGAGATGCTATTATGTTAATGTGGATGTTTTCCTGTTGTGAAGGGAGCCATAATAAATTTTAGGGTCCATTACTGCTTTATCTTCCATAAAGTCGAGCTACTAGGCCATTCTTCTTCATTTGGTAGTTTTGCACAGCATAAAACTTTTGGTTCAGTTAATAACTTGATATCTGGTGAAATTGCAATTAGAAATTAGCAGTTAGGCTAAGTTTATCATGTAAAAAAAAAAAAATCAATGCCGGTGCTGTACTTATTACAATTTTGTTTTCAATATAGAAGTTCTCAATTATTATGATGGAAATTGTCAGGGAAAACATTGTGCAAAAATATTATAATAAGTACGAACATTATTTTTCAGACACAACCCAAAAATAAATACTCTAGTTTCCAAGATATCATGTAAATTTGTGCGGATACCCCAAAAAACTAAAGTCATAAGTGTTTCAAAACATTGACCAATTCATGAACAAAGGTCACCCTTTAGGTTCTTTCACGTATCACTTCCACAGCTGCTTTACTAATGATGACTTGAGTTAGTCTTGTTTTCTCAGCCCACTCAGCCAACGACCTGAGTAATGGACTTTCAGTTATGGAAGCTCGCAAATCGCGGGGAAAATGTCAGCCTAAAATGTGCCACTTGGTTCATAGCTTGCAATACTTTAGCGAACTCTTAACTGAAAATGTCGAATCATCCTGATGACTTCACAGTGCAGTTTTGTAAGGTTCTGAATGTCGCTAGGTCGCTCCTAAAAGGTTATTAGCTTTTTGATGGTTTAAAAATTAATTCAGTTGTCCTTAATCATTGCTATCCATCTATCTATATACTTAATACAATATGGGTTTTCAGTTTTCACTGTAACATCCTTTTTCCACCAGTCCTACTTAACTATAATCGAAACTTGATTGAGATACTTAAATTAAACTCGTTATGGCATAGTTCTACAATAGATATATTTTTAAATATTGGAAATTTATATAAATATTATATCATTTATGTATAAATATGTGTTACCTATTTATAGACCTAACTGTCTAAAAAAACATTCAGATTATATTAATTCTCATATAATGATGTTTTCTTGTATTTAATATTTTTCCTCGTAAATTCAAGAACTCTCTCCTCAAACATTGCTCATACAATTAAAAAATAACTACAGATTTGAGAAAAGTTGACTTTTAATTTTAAAAGATACATATAGATACATAGGGTTTGTAGGTAGATAGCAATAAAAAGTTGAAAGAAAATGGGGGTTTATTTACAAAATTATAACATATGAATTCTATACGCGTTCCAACGCTCATAATAATTACAAACTCTAACTTTTTTTAAAGTCATATTAAGATTAATGTAATATCGTAATTATTGCTGACAAACAAATGTTGTTTCTTATTCCTATATGTGCCTGTCTGTATATAATATGTCTACTATAAAAAAAAAAACCTTAACCAAGATATTTACTGAAAGTTAAAATAACTTGTTCTCAACTATTCCCACACATCTCTACTAATTTCTACCATCAAATTAACAACCCATGTAGTTTTCCTGTTCAAGTTTCGCAACTGTTCCCTGGAGCATTCATCGCAAACCCGTTACTGAGGTTATCAGATGACCTGAAGTTGAAGACTGTTCTAATAAAGCTATTAATTGAAACGAGTCGTGGGAGGGACCTTAACATGAACAAGCTGACGTAAGACTCTGTATCCTGTTGGAGATTGGTTCAAGTTGTAGCTTTGAATTTTGTATACAGAAGTGGAAATTCCATATTATATAAGCCAGATGTAGCAATGTTTTATTTAAAAATAAATAATTGAAAAGATCTTTCACAGAGTGTGCTAATGTAAAAAGTTTATTTTCTTCCTTAATTTTTGATAATAAGATGTGACATGCAAAGTCCTGTATGATTGATATTATTAGTATACTTGTTTAGAGGATACATTTTTGCAGTGTATATATTTTTTTAACTCGCTTCAATTTTAACAGAGAGATACGGTGTTTCCCTTTGCTTACAGTCAAAGGTAAAAGTCACTAAAAAGTAACACAAGATGATTTGTTACAGAAAATATTGTGAACAATATTTATGTGAAACATTTTTGTAATGACCATTAACATCAATAAACATTAATGGGGATTGAGAGGAAATAGCTTATCATTTAACAATTAAATTACCACTTATCATTTTCTATTTGGTAAATTATTTATCTAGGAAAATTACATAATACATTTTAAATGAAAGATACAGTATTTTCAACAGGGTATCCCACTTTTAAAATGAAAAGCTTAGAGAGCGAACATTAAAAATAATTGGTAGGCCTAAATTTTTGTTAATCTTGATCCTTCAGAATTCACAATTACCGTGTTCTCTACTCATAATCGTCAAACAATATACTAATAGGTAGTACAAGGAGAGTACACAGAATAGCAAAGAGTTAGTACAGGGTGTTCTGGTGTTCCACTAACCTGAAGCGTGTTCCTATGACGTCAGGAGGGTTGGGGGACACCTGGACCAGGCGGAAGAACGCATGGTGTTCCACGCAGCATTTGTACAGGTGTTTGCAGGCGGGCTTGGAGGGAGTTTCAAAACCATAGGTGTTCTCATCATTCTATGAAGAAAATGTTTGGTAAAAATGTAACTCTATTGATTGAATAGTAGTCCTATATGGATAAAAATTGACAGTTTTAATTGTAGTTAAACTAATTACCGGCACCTAAAACAAATCGAATTAATCTTTAATGTGTAAAATAATAAAACATTGTTACCCTACAATGTTAGAACATTCATCACATCTGCCAGTGATAACTTTTGTCCCGAATAACCCTTAAATGTTTGTCATTGGTTTCCTGTTCTCTTTTCAAGAGCAAATACCGGAAATTTCCCCTTCCACCCCCCAAAAAAATGACAATTTACTATTTTCTTCTGAAACTGGCGTTACAAAGTAACGTAATAAACATAATATACATAAATCAGATCATTATCAGATTATCTGCATAAATCTTACTATTGGAACTTAACATGTTAAATTTTCACTGTAATTTCTACTATGTCGAATTAATATTGCAAATACACTACACTCTACATTGTTCGAACGGAATGATTCAGAGGGAGAAAAGCAGAACCATGAAATCAACCCTCCTAAGACCCCAGATGGGGATTTAACCAGCTGAAACTTATAATCCGTTATCTGGAATTGAAATTGTCACCTTGAAAAGTTCTGCACAACCTGTAGTAATTTGCATCCGCTTAGATATGATTGGCTCAATCGTATCTGCAACCACTTACTTTATCTTTATCGGACTGATGTAAATTTTACAGCTTGGAGTGGAACTTCCAAGTATCAAAACAAGCAACCAATTAAGTATATTACTCATTTTATGCTAGGAAACATGAAAAATTCTAAATAAAATTATGAAAAAAGTAGGTTTCTTAAATATAAAAATTAAAACCATAAGGTAGCATTGGCTAGATGAAATAAGTGTAGTTAAGTTCAGTTCTTTCTTAATGAATAATTGAAAACATAGATATGCAAGACAATAGTTTTACATGTTTACTAGTATCAATATCGATAAACTACTGTAATAGCAAAAGTATAAGTGCACTCGGCCTACACAACCATTATGTATGTGAATTGGTTAATTTGATAAGGAAACGGGAATGAGATAATAAATTTGAGCAATCTATGGAGGCTTTTATCTCGCAATTTCCAATGTGAACAATAATAAACGTAATTTAAATACGTAAGAAAGAGTGTGTGGTGTAACAAAATACGAAGATAGTAAAAAAACAACATAATAAAATTTATCTTTTGCGGAAACAACTGAATATTTTAGAAAATGTAGAGAGGAAAAAAATGAGGTTATGATACTGAAGAAATATATATTTAAAAAGTAACCATCCAATAGAAACTGAATTTCCTAATTCGTTACAGTATTAATCTTCAGAATTTGAAGGCTGCTACCTATTTCCTAGTCTAATTCAATTTTGCACCCAAATATCATTAGTTATATCTATTTGGAATAAATAAACCATTTATCGTTGGAACATAAGTAATGATACTGTAAAATGCCGTTAGGCCGACATTGATACAAGATCAGGTTTAGTCAAATTTATTTAAATACTTAAACAATGATTCTGTCGTTTAAACTTCACAAAACAAAATGATAAAAACACAAAAATAAAAATACACTTAAGTACGACGACAGGATAAAGATCAAACTCCTTTATTCTGATTCTTTCCTTTGTCCTAAAGGTCTCTCTCTTGATTCTCTGCAAATATCAACTTAACTTAATCTTTCAATTACCAAACGATTCAATAATACAGAACTATTGCTTCCAGAACGCTAAAGCTATGACTAAAACAAATGCCTAAAATGTCCAACTCCACGATGTTATCAAATAAGTCATGTTAAAAATTTATTTTTATAATAATAAAATAACTACTCTTATCAGACAAATTAATAAATAGTTTTAGGTCATTACCGTGCTTACATTTTTGTCACACACCCTTAGCATGAAGTACCTTCCCTTGTGGTATATTTTGCTGATTCTTGGCCTGAAACGATAACAGAAAACATCAAGGGTCATGAAATAAAAAAACCCATCTTGAACAAAAGTACAGAGCTTAATACATACTTCTACTACTAATACTACTAATACTATATACTAATACTACTAATACTATATACTAATACTATATACTAATACTAATACTACTTCTACTACTGAATACATACTCAAAGCTCAGGTTTCTAAAATTCCATGAGTGTTCACTCAAATGGTTTTCCTCATATCTTTGTAACCGATCCCAGGTGACTAAGGTGAATGGTAGGTGCTCCGAGTTGATTCAAAGAGAAGTAGGGGTCCCTCAGGGGACTTGTCTGGGTCCAATACTTTTCATATTGTACACCCATGACCTCGATAGCGTTCTGAAATCTTCCACTTCCTACGCTGATGATTGTCAACTAGTTCTTTCCCACGCCCCTTTTGATTTTCATGAAGCAGTCAATCTCATCAACACTGACTTGCTAAGGGTAAAGCAATGGTCTGACGATCACGGTCTAAAATTGAATCCTGAAAAGTGTACTGTGCTTCATTTCTGGTCTTCTGGTTTGCAGCCTAAAAATAGTCTTATTGGAAAGGTAGAGCTGGACGGTCAAATTCTTGTGGTGTCTGATTCTGTTAAGGTGTTAGGTATCAGAATTGATTCTCAACTCAATTTTCGCTCACATGTTAGTTACATTTGTCAGAGAGTCTCAAATAGGTTGAGAATTTTACACCGTTTGAGAGGGATACTATCTGAAAATGCTAAGCTAGAATTGGTCAAATCAACAGTCTTCCCTATTATTCACTATGCACCTCCATCGTTTGGTGAATGTCTTACTCTTGACTGTAGAGTTCTTCTTACGAGGTTGCAAAACCGAGCCCTGAGGTTTGTCTTCAATCTGAGGAAGTTTGGTCATATATCTGCCTATCGCAAACAGGCTAAGGTACTCTCTTTGGAAAAACAATGTTTTCTACAAACTGTTTTAATTGTTCACAAGACACTGTCTTCTAATTTGCCTCCCTATTTGAAAAGGAAACTTATGCCTCGAACATCAGTTAGGGAACGCTGTACTAGGCAGGACGGCTTGCTTGAAATGCCGAGAGTGCGGCGTGAGATAGGTAAAAAGGGGTTCTCATACTTTGGACCCCAGGCATACAACACCCTCACAAGAAACATGAAAATCATGTCATGTAATTCATTTAAGGCCAATCTAAAGCTAGTTTAGTTCCACTGTTTGTAATTTATGTGTACTTGTAAACTTTTTGTGACTTTGAGTTGTCTTGAAAACCAGTGTATCTGAAGACCGCTTTAAATAAAGGCATTTTATTTTTATTATTATTATTACTTGTATTCATTAAAATACAGTGAAAAAAGGACTCACACTTATTTCACACAGTCCATTAAAGTGATTTACCATCATATGCTTCGTAGTAGAGAGTTTTTTAAAGTTCTCCTCGCTTGGAAGACCTAAATAGAAGATAAGTGAAATAATATAAATATAAATAGAAGCTAATGATGGCCACTGGAACATCACTGCCAACTATTGGTAATATCCCACATTAAAACCTCGGTCTACAAACAGAAGTCGCGCACTGCAACCACTAAATTAATTGTGCTGCATTTTGTGCATGCTTTTTAAAAGAGAATAAAATTCGTTTTCCACACACATCTGAGGCTATCTAAATATAGAAATACTGTATTACTTACCAATAATAGTTGGCCACCTTGTTTTTATTCCTAAGAACGATAACTCCAGTAGGCGTAAGGCCAAGGAAGTATTCTACGTTGTCCTCCCCCTGAAACAGAAAATTGTCGGTTAAAAATCCGTGAATTATGCGTTTTTAAACGGTATGTGAACTGTGATGCAAACTGAATTATATTGAGTGATATTAGGCAACCGGTTAAGAATAATTCTGTCGTTGTCCTCCAGGATATTTGTGCGAGTATTTCAACATGCCTGTGTAGTAATTAGTACAGTGGGTATCCTTCATTAAATTGTATATAAACAACATATAGTGATGCTTAGAATCCTATAAATACAAAAAGGCCGTTCTGCCCAAGTGGAGGGATCGAGTACTATATATAGAGAAGGCTCTCGTCATTTGGGACTTATTTTATTCTAGATGTAAAAAGTGACCTTTTTTAAGGTGGGCAAAGTATCACCAGGCTATGTCTACTACACTATCACATAGGTAAGAGCCATTGGCTTTGGCTTTGAAAAAGTTTTTATCACAATTCTTACACTACTGATTTCCTTACCTTTTTAGTAGCAGTCATGCTAATAATCCTATCAAATTAAGTGTATTTGTAGATGCCTATACACATAACCTCTTCGGTTTAATTTTAATAGGATCTAACATAGTAAAGCATTACGTCATACAATCGTCCAGACGATTCGTCGTCTGTAACTGCTCGGCGTCATCGCCACCCGCCGAGAAAAAAGGCGCGGAAAGTGAAAACGGCGGAAAAGCAAAAAGTGTACAATGGAGAGGCGGTCCCGCGCAATGCCCAATAATTGTACAGGGCAACGTAGCATTTGCACAAATTAAATCCCAACGTCAATTGGTTTAGAAATTGGAGGGTAATAACGTGCCTGGGGCCAAGGTTAGGGAGCTCCCCCGCTGACTGAGTTGTCAGTTTCCGCATGAGCGTCTGGGAGATGAAATATAAGGATAACAGGCATGGCAAAACTTTGTTGTAACATCTGGATTTCAAATCTGAATGCATTGGGAGAGTTATCTGTAAAATCGATTGATCCGGTTAATTTATTGTTTTCGGTCATTAGAGCCTCTTTTAAACGGATTAGGGTTGGAAAATATTAGGTTAGAAAAATTTAGGGCTATTAGGAAAAAAATATGAGGAGCACTTAAAGTCATGAGTGGAGGATAAGACACAACCAGGAAAAAAGATTAATGTAATAAGTTGACATTTTGGGAGATATTAGAGGTAAGATATGGATATTTTATTGTGTGTGTGTCTTAAGCAATTGACTAACAATTTCAATAAAGGACAAGTGTATTAAATGTGTTCAAACCAATGAATTTGTTCAATCAAAGTGTTTAAAAAATATATGAAACAAAACCAATGTAAATATAAATTTATTCCACGAATATCGATCTTTGAAACTTAACATAAGGTTTGAAATTACAGAAACGACCCTTTGTTAAACCCCCTTTTAACTATTAAATTAAATAATAATCTCTAGTTTTGACCTTACCCACAAGCCTCTAGCCGTCTTCAATTTTCTCGACACCTTGGGCACCGATTATTTCCATGTAGGGGCGCCTACCAAGGTTTAAGGTTTGCCCAAGGACTGCTAAGATGTAATCTTTCCTAATGAACTCAGTTATCCGGCACGCAGGACCAAAGTTTCGCCCCCGCGCTGTCCTCTATTTGTCCGCTATGTCCTCTATCTGTCCGCGCTGTCCTCTATTTGTCCGCTATATTTAGTGTTGACATATCTTAATGACCGAGTGGGCCCCGCGCTTGGATGGCTAAATCGACTAATTTATCCAGCGTCGGTGTTTGTTGTACTTTGTAATTCGCAAGTTTGTTTTCTTGTATTGTTCAAAGGTTGTTGGTTTTTATCAACTATCTTAACTGCACATTTTCATATATTGTTTCATATTATTTGTGTATCTACGTCATAGGCATTTTTTAAACATTTTGTAAGGTGACAGTGGAAACCTCCCTGTTTAACGTATGCACTCGGACGTGTAATTATTATTTACTGAGTAGCAGAACGTTTAAATTACAAAACAACCTTAAACTCTCTGAGCAACTTCTATATAATGAGAAACGTTTCGATAGTAGGTAAAATTATATAGTAAAAAAATGGAAATTTTTGCTTCAACTTCCTTGGATTAAAACACTCCAGTAGTCTGTTTTCTGCAAATCCTGCACGATCAATGCCCGTTTGGAACAGAGAGGTTTCGAGTGGAGGCCGATTTTAGATCACCATGGGGACAGTAACCTAGGCTACATATCAGTCTGTTGCGGGTGGTTGTCGTTTAATACACCAAATACACCCTCTATTATATGTTTAACCACTGAACACACGCTATTAATTTAGAGACGGTTTAGTCTTAAAAAAGTATTAGAAAAATTATACTTGTGGTTTGAAATAATTATAGTATTGAATGGCTATTTTCCACAATTGTAACCTAGAACGTGTCCAATATCAAATATGAAAACCTGCAAACAATTTGTTCACAAAGATAGTCATGGGACCGGAAAATAATTGAACGTTTAATACATACGATATATTTTATTACCCATGTCAATTTCCAAATAAAGTCCACTTGTAGGCGCTACACACCACGAATATTTCATTTATATGTATCATTAAAATAAACTGGAGGATTTAAACGATGAGTTCACGTAAATGAAATTAAAAAATCTATTATCCTTCCGATAAATCATTAATAATAATGAACACAATAGAGATTCAAACAATTATTCAGAGATTTTCATAAAAATGTTAAACTTATAAACAATCTAATAATACAATAGGCATAAATGGAATCATAAATATTTTACTTTCCCCAGATTAATTGATCACAATTTCCCAATCTTACAAAAGCCACCCGATTACCATTACCTAAACCTTCGGTGAATGGTTCAACACAACTTTCAAACGAAAACAAGTAATTAATTCCCAAATATGTCGCCATTGGTCAGAGGGATTCATGAGGGAAATGGGCTCTAATATCCTGTCGCAGCATTACTTCCGGTCTCTAAGTCCCCCCCCCCGGCAAACCCCCCCCCCCATCAGATGCTATCAACTCAGATCTAAATTAAATCGTCAATTAGATGCAAATCCGAACTGCCGATTACCCTAACGTGGCCGACGCCGACCTAAATTAATTCAGAAATAATTATTGGCGATCCGAATAAATTGGACAGATTCGATATTAGCACTTGTGATAGTGGAGTGCATAACAGGTATGATCAATTTCGATGTTCTGCAGTGAAGCCTGTTCAACATGATTTGATTGCGTTTTTAAATTTAGTTAAAATTAGTATGGAAGTGTTATTATGTTGTATTGTGATTTTGTAAATTTAAAGTTAGGGGGGGGGGTTTATAAAGTTTCAAAGGACTGTTAACAGCTGGTTTTGTTTCTTTCAAATGCAGATTTGTTGTTACAATGGTCAACAACCTTTTCGTTCTACAAAACTTATGTTAGGTGATGTATTTTTCCACATTCAAAACATAGTTTTAAACTATAATGCATACTATCCTGATAATTAGACCAATTCGTATATACCAAGGAAAAAATGTGGTTCGGATTCCACTATAAATTGTAGGTCCCTTAGTTGCCATTAGCTGTATGGGCTATTAATTAACAGCTGTGTCTAAGGAATGTCGGCCTTGTCACTAACAAGACCACAAGATTGCGCTACTCATCTTTCATTTACCTACTATGTTTGGTCGCCATTTCATCGAACAGTATTAACAGTATGCTGAAAGTCGTCTGTATAAGGTAAGCCTATAAACCGACTTAACAACTATTTTACAAACGTTCTTTAAAAAACAATAGATAAATTAAGCCTTATTCAAACACAAATGTTAAGTAATAAAATTTACCATTTAAAAATGAAAACAAAATTTAAAAGTAAGATATTAAATATAATAAATACAGAAATACTAAAAAAAAAACTTGGTACAACGGTTGGCATGATATTACGGGTCGATACAGGCTCAATGGAATCTGTACTTGACATTTGTATAAATATTGAAGTGAAAAATAAAACAGCGTGATTGTTAAGTAGTAGCTATGATCAATCCTATAGAATTAATAGAACGAAATATATTTTCAAAAATTGTGAACTGAACATTATGTCTACGAGCAGCTTTGTTTAAATTACAAAGCAATTGTAATCATCAAAAACATAAATGTTTATTTTAAATAACTTCTTGATCAGCATTGTACGTGTTATTAATTTACCCGAAAGCACAAAAGATACGTCAAATAACACTTATAGCTATAATTATAAGTTAGTGTTATTTGACGTATTTTTTGTGCTTTCGTGTTTATTGTCAATACTTACAAGCAATAACTTATTTGAAAGTATCCAAAATAAACGATCGCGAAGCCTAAGCAAACCTTTCCTGAGCTTACAAAACTTGGTTGTTGGTTAAAGGCTATTTACCTTGGTAACGGAACTCAAAATTGATATGTTGGTTGCTTGTGTATTGCTCGTGTTGCGACACAAACTTTATTTGGTAAAAACGCGTTGTTGTTACTTTAGTTTTAACAAATCCTTTGCAACGATAGTTAGAGAATTATGCGTTTTTTACCATTAACTAGAAATTTAGAAAAATATACCCTTAAAAAAAGAGGACGTCCTTAATGAAAGTTACACTATTGAACACAAGGTAGGATGTGATTATTTTTCGAGTGGTTTGAATTCGTTTAAATTTGTATTAATTTTGTAGGGTCTAATAAAATTTGATTAAAACTGAAAAACAAATATTCTTTTTTATCGAGACTAATTTTTGTATTAAATAATGTTTCTCAAGTGTATTAAACATTCACAACCTTATAAAGGGGGTTTTTAGAGTTTAGCTAGTAATATAAATAGCTATCCAATTTAGAAAACGTTTTCTTTTCCTGGGGTAAGCATTATTTCTATATTTCCAAATAAGTGAATATCTAGGTTCTATACCACGGGATGAATCTATTATCTATTAATGTACCTCATACCTATTGGTAATTGGTGGTATTTGAACCCAGACCCCTTGGATAGAGGCTCTGCGCTCCAAACATTAGATCAGCCTATATGCAAAGTTTAG